TGTTTACCTTTGCACGAACACTAATGACATCATTTCCCTATGACCCTATGGAGCCAAACTACATAGTTGGCAACAAGTGGCAGCAGCATTGCATGTCGCATCCCGCATGCCGCATGTTGCAACACACTAGTACGCCGCCAAGTCGAAACATTGGGGCGCAGCGTAACTCATAAATGTGGCAAACGACTTCCTGCTCCTCGAACATGTCATGGCGGTGTGCATGCAACATCAGCAACAGCAACAACTACATGTTGTCGCTAGTGCAATATTTCATATTTAGCTGCTGAGCGCACGCAGGCAGGCTGGCTGGCTCGTTGGCTGGCTGGCTGGCTGGCTGGCAGGCGCCTCTTCAAAGACTTGCAGCCTCATCAAGCGCCTCTTCATCGCAATGCCGCGACATACATGCGAGCCAGTTGTTGCTGTTGTTGTTGTTGTTGCTCTGCTGCAGCAACTGACAGTCAATAAAAACCGAAACGCGCTTAGAAACCGTGCTGCTGCTGCTGCTGCTGCTCTATGTTGCATAAAATCTGCCAACCCACCGCCAACAACAGCAACAACCAACCCATCGTTAATGTTTCGAACGTTCGTTCGATCGCATACCAACATGATTTTTTTGCTTTTTCATTATTGTATTGCGACATTTTTTGTGGCTTTTGAGAAGCAACAAAATAAAAAAAAACGCCAAAAAACAAAATCAAAGCAATTGGAAGCAGCAGCAGCATCCCCAGCTCTAGCAGCAGCAGCAGCAACAACAACAACAAATCGCAAATATGTACGCGATAAATTTATGTTGGCAACATCAAATCGACGTAAATTACGCGCCGCTGCTGGCAGGCGGCGCTTTGGCTGTTAAATTCTTGCCGCTGTTGTTGAGTTGCAATTTAGTTGCCTCAAGTGTTTGGCGGCTGGCAACGAAAGCGGCAACAGTAACAGCAACAACGGCACCAGTTGAAGATGTAGTGACTCTGGCAGCACATTAATTCGCGCGTACTTAACACGGCCACAGCCTGCTCCAACGTCCGCGTCCTCATCCGCGTCCACATCCACATCTGGCTCGTCTTGGCAGTGTCATCCATCTGTAATACAAACGCATGTTGCATGCTGCATTTTGCTTTGATTAGAGGCAACAGCAGCATCAGCAGCAGCAGAAACAAATATGTGTGATTTAAATTTAACTGTGACTTTGTCACAATTATTTTACATTAAGTCATATTCCTCAAAATAAACTTCAAAAGCGAAGTAAAGTAAAATATTTATTTAAATTACAGATACGGGATTGATTTTGATTTTAGTATGGACACGAAATGTATTCAAGGCTAATGATGTCGCTAATGATGATAAAGAGGTTAATGATGAAGGGGTTAATGACGAAGATGTTGATGAAGAAGAGGTTGATGATGACGAGGTTGATGATGAAGAGGTTGTTGATGAAGAGGTTGATGATAAAGAGATTGATGATGAAGATGTTGATCATGAACATGTTGGAGATGATATGATAACTTCAAAAATGTTCTATAAGCTTTATCTAATAACACGATTAAAGACTCATCATTCTACATAAACACAACTCACTTCTCAACTCATTCATAAAACAATTCTGTGCCTTAAATCTTTACTTTGATGATAAGAAGATGAGAAATGATTCCTAAAATGACAAAGCCCGAAGATTCTTACCACCCTACTTTAGATCAATCTATTTCTACTCTCATTGCTTTAAGAATTTATTCTATATTCTGTATAGTGCCATATCGTCTTCACCATTTAAACATCCTTGGTTTTAACGTAGACTTTCTAATTTAAGAAAGATTAACATTATAGTGTACAAAAAATATTTGTTAAGTCATTAATTCATTAACCTACTGATGTTCCTTATCAGGTTCGATTATGTTCTTACAGCCTTGAAAAGTGGGCTATTTACAATTATCCAATCGAAACAATCAGGTGTTACGCTAGTATTTTGATACATTAAAGTTTTCCAGAGTCTCGGCCACAGCAATCATTCCAACGTTAGTGATGTTCTTCTTGGAAAAGCTTTCATGATTGAAGAGACGGAGTTTTCCTTTTTTATTTACCTTTTTTAATAGAATTTATTATGCTTAGAATAATTTTGCATTTCCATTTCTTTCTTTAGTTTAAGCCTTTGTGTTACTAATTCTGATGGGAAAATAAAGCTGACGTCTCTTATAAATACAACTCTAATTGTAATAAATTAGTTTGTACTATATTCGAAACAAATATTAGATAGTACACTCAGAAAACTATAAATGTTGCCTCCTTGTATCCAAATATGTGATTGGGGAAATTGTTGGGGAAATTGTTGATTTATTTTATATTACAGATTTTTTTAAAAAAGTTTAGGGGAAGTTTTTTAGAAAAGTGTTGATTTATTTTTAGAGATTTAAAAAAAAAAAGTTTACAGGAAACTCTTGAGAAAATTGCTGTAAAACACATCTTTAAAAAAAGGTTTAGGAGAAATTCTTTGATTTATTTGATATTACAGATTTTATTATACAGATAGTGGGCCTTTTCAATATCCAACGTTATATAAAATATCACATTTCGTTGTGGCGGGCAAGTCACAGAATTGCTCATCTCTGTGGGGCTGGAAAAGTGTTGTTGCTGCTGGCTGGGCAACCTGACGCAAATTGCTGTTTGTAATTGATTTAAATACGTTGACGCTGCGTGGCAAATAACTCATGTTCATGCAACAGTTGATTATATGTATGGTCGGTCGGTCGGTCGGTCCGTCTGTCCGTCTGCCAGGCACTTGTTTGACTCGTCGCACATTGCTGCCTAATTGCCAGCACATTGGCTAATGCCACTAATGGTTTTGGTAGCTGCACCCAGTTCGTTTTGTTTTTGTCTTGATTTTGCTGCCTAGTGTTGCCCAGAACTTTGGACACACTTTCGCAAAATGGAAAAGGAAAAGAAGAGAAATGTATAAAAGTTATGAGCGTGAAAGCAAATGGCCTGAAGTCTCTTGATTTACATCAAACAATTATCAGTTTGATTTATGAACTTGGCCAAAATGCATAATTTTTCAACACATTAAATGTTGAAAAGCGCTTTTCACAATTTTCCCATCAATTATCATAAAAAAAATCGCACAAAAATTACAACAACAACAGCAGCAGCATCAACTTTGCAATAAACTGCACAGCACGTAGTGAAAAGGCAATTTTCATTTTAGAGGGTTAAAGGCAACGTTGGCCAAAGTGCCAACAACAACAACAACAGCAACAGTAAAAGCAACAGCCACTACAAACAACAGCAACAACTTCAATTACAATCACGTCAACATCATTTTCAACGCAACGAGATATATTTCTATTAGCCGATTTAATGTCAGCATAATTAATCACACCACATTATGTGCAGTGGCCGTCGACGTCGTCGTCGCGTTGTTGGTAACAGCATCAGCATCAGCAGCAACAGCAACAAAAACAACTGCAGCAGCATCAGCAGGGTCAATAGTTTGGCTTGTGTTTTAACAGCTTTGACTGCTCGTACCTGAGCCGAGCCGAGATTGGCCTTTTCCTATGCAAATTTATAGGCAGCATTGCGTAGGTTGTAGCCCGAAGCGTTTTGTTTGGCTTTTATCTCGCACATTTGTGCCTGAAACTGAACCTGCACCTGAACCTGAACTTGAGCACAACACACAGCGTCTAATTCTTAATGCAATTTAGTTGTACTTGATTTTATACATAATGCCACAATATGCAGCTGTATTATTCAAATATCTCTTAGCTAGCTTCATACTTAAGTTTGGATTGCATTTAGTTTAAAAACAAAGTAAAAGACTAAAACAATGTAGCAAGATTATAAACGAAGGTGATTCGAAATCAAAACACTTTTTTATTCGTTGAATACACATTTTGAACTCACTTTATTCCTTAAAAGCCTAACTTTATATATAGTACATACTATTATTAAATTTTAATCATGTAAGCTTCTGAATGAATAAATATTGCCTCTGACTTAAGGCGCGTATTGGCCATATAAGAAATATGCCTCTCAACCACTTCCAAATCATCTTTTAGTTTTTTTCTTGTATATAATATTCAATTGAGAATTTAACACCTACATATACCAAATACATGTCCTTGAACCTCTTTCGAACCGCATTTATAAGCTGAAACAAGTTCTAACAAAATGAATTGTTTGTAAGCCAGGGACTCCATATCTATAGTCTTTAATAAACACTTCAATATCATTTATTGTTTAAAAAAATATTAATCTGATCCTCTTCCAGTTTTGAATCAACAAAGACAAAGTCAAATACAGAATTGGGATCATTTTTTTTCTTGCTAATTTTGAAGCAAATGTTGAATCTTGAATTTATGATATATGTACAAGTATATAAAAATCTCGTGTCACAATGTTTGTCATTAATAAACTGCAAAGCTACTGAACCGATTTGAATCAAATTTCTTATGGATCTGTAAATTGGTAAAACTTAAAATATAGAATAGTTTTTGTCGCAGTTATTTATCGTTTGAATACTTTAATCGCGAATTTAGTATTTTTCAGAATTTTGTTCGTATTATTTCATCATTTTGTTTTGGATATGTAAGTACGTCAAAAGTAAGACAAAAAAAAAAAATTCAGACTGAGATAGAGTGTCGAGTTAGTTAGTTCATAATGTGTTGAAAGTAATAGGAGGTGTTCAATTATGATTATAAAATGGCTGATAGAATACTTATTTACTATCTATTCGTTCGATTCTACTAAAGCCTGAGGAAGATTCGACCATAAGAAGAAAATTCGATTTTGAAATGTCCACAAAGTGCTGAGTGCAGGCTAAAATTCTATGTAAAGAAGCACACCCGATCACCTATGTACTTAGTATACATATAGGTATATCTTTATATATAGTAGCTCCCTTACATAAAAAGCTTCCCTGATATATGTACAAATTTTAAAAAACTTTAAAAAACTTTAAAGGCATCCTGATCATCCACATTACAGATTATGAAATTTTGAAATTGATAGACTTTTTTTATGATTAAGTTTTCTTAAATAATTTATTTTCTTAAAACTCAATCACACATCCAATAGCTAAGCAATCGTTGATATTTGAATAAAAATCAACGATAAATCCGGCGACCCTCGACTAAAATATTATGCCAGTTTCGTCTTTTTACGCCACAGAACTCCTCGCAGGCCTCCTTGTCGAAAAATCGGTTTCGATTACCGCCACAATTTGAATACAAGAAGGTTTCGCAAGCTCTATTAATGGGACTGTAGTGCCACATGAGGCGTCGTCCGCCACATTTTCCATATTCGGGAGGAAAGGTGCAAATGACTGGAAAATTGGAAATTTCAAAAAAGTAAATAAACTTATACTATATACTATATATCGTATATTCTGGATACCTTTAATGCGCTGACGCTCGCTCCAAGCACTATTCAAGGCAAGCAGGAGACAGAATAGCAGCCAGAACCGACACATTTTAATCCTTTTTTGTTTGTGACAGAACAAGGCTGAACTGTTTTCTGAATGTTGTTTGTGAAGACTCTGCCGTTGTATTTATACGCACTGGGCTTGAATGGAATTTCTCTTTCGCGAACTTAGTCATAGTTTTGAGTGTTTCGGAATTTGGAAAAAGTTTTACTTGTACGATGTTCAGCACCTGCTCAGCACGTTCGCTTGGCAAACAAATTAATGGGTAGATATGGCAGATATTGCTGGAGTGCGGCAAATCTACATACGGATTTGGTCAGTCAGACGACTGGCTGGCTGGCTAGCTGGCTGCCTGGCTGCCTGGCTGGCAAGCGAATTCAATTAAATTTCTCAATAAATTACAAGTGCAAAAACGCATGCAGCATTCGTTCAGTGGCACGTCAGTTGTGTTAGTTGAGTTAGAAGCATAAAATGCGTCAGGTGAACTGGTCCAAAGTTAAAAACCGGTACTTAGCTTACGATTACGCAAGCCCACAACACCATCACACATCGCGCATACGCAGCGTTGTACGCATATCTGTGGCATTTTCATCTCGTTGCCAATATAAATAATATAAAAGCAAACTGAAACAACAACAAACTAAATGCGAAAACGAAAACGTCGGAAAATTGAAATTCTAGATCAAGGCCAACATCAGGCTGTCTGGCTGTCTGGCTGGCTGCCTGGCTAACTGGCAGGCAAGAAGGCAGGCCGGCTGGCAGGCAAACGCATAAATAAATAGACACGCAACAGCGCATTAAACTAAACTAGTTTCGATTTAGCTTTGGAGGATGCAGTGCAGTGCGTTGATAATGACGCTCATAACGATGACAAGATGTGATGTCAGCGAAGCTATGTGTTAGATACAAACATAGACACATGTACATACCATACTACTTGCATGCATGTATGTATGTTTCTATGTGTATGTGTTAGTGTGTGTGTGTGTGTGTGTAGAAGTGGAAAGGAAGCAGTAGTTAGTACTCGTAATGGCAATGCGTATTCAGGCAGGTGTACAAGATAAAACACTCAACGCTGCGTTCAGGTGCTGACAAATGCGATAAATGTTTTAATTTATTTACCGAAGGCATGAGGAGTTTTAACGATCAAATTATTGGCAAACATTTTCAAATGCATTTCAATATTTGGCACCAAAGCACCAAATACGCAGTAGACAGCGCAGTAATTAATAAAGGTTTGCGAAACATTAACCTTTTCTCAATTTATTCACTCCGCTTAAAACATTAAAGATATCTTAATGTTAAGCGTACAGGCAGCTTAGCTTTTAATAATTAAGCGAACAACCTTAAGAAATATTAGGGTTAAACAACAATTGACAGTGCAAAGCGGGAAATATTATACAAAAAAAAATTAACTTTATACAAGTTGTTTATTATGTATTAATTAGAGGCGAGCAATTCTTTCTGCAATTAATTATACAGGGTGCGCCATCTTTTATGTCGGTATGTAGATATTGAATAACAAGAAATTTTACAGAACCAAATTAAATAAAAATATCTCATACTTGAAAATCGGTTGTTTATTTTCAATATATTCAATACTTTTGCTGTTTGGTGTAAATCTGTAGTGAAGAAGTGCCAGCGAAGGCTATTTTTTATTATTTTATTATGGTTATTTTATTTTGGATGACTTGAATTTGGAAAATTTATCTGAAAAGGTACATTTTGTTTTCTATGCTAAGACAAAAGTTTCTATATATAAATAAAAGACGAGCTAATATATTTGGTTTCTTACTGATATATTGAACATGCTCTTTAAATGCAATTTTGTATTTAACATGAGACCGAGTACACTTTTATCCTATTTCACATCTACACTGTTTTGTTAATAGATAATTAAATGGAAAATCTTCTTCCGTTTCCTTGTAAGGAAGTTTGCTTGCGTTTGGTCCGGATTGAGCAGAATTTTTTATTTAGCAAAGTATAAAACGAGGTTCTCAATTATAACCTTTTATTTAATAAACATATTTAGAGAGAATTGGATAAAGTCAATAATTTATCTTTTATTTCACAATAATTGCTTTATACAAGGAACTATTCCTTGAACTATACCATTAAAAATATAAATCATTAGTTTAGACTGGAACTATTTAAAGTATTAACGTTAAAGCGTTTAACACAAAATCTGTATGACTATTTCCTTATATTTCGAATGTTGCGAACTTATAATGAAAGACAGCTTGCCGGACTGATAATCAAATATGGATAATGTTAAATAAATTGCATTGAATATAATCAATAAATTAATCAAAATAAACAATTAACATGTAGCTGCAAAACTTTAGCAATAACATTTTTATTTAGGAGACAACTTAATCCAACTTGCTTATAATGTTTTCAGACTTGCGACTCTGCCAATAAGCGGTTTCTTTGAAGATACTTGTTTTGTTGGAGATTAGCTTGCTTCCATTCTTTTTTGATTAGATGTTACTTTTAAGTTAAAGTTGATGAGTTTGACATTTCGAGGAACTAACTCGCTGAGACTAACAGGCAGAGGACAAGCAGAAATGGCTCTATTAGTTGGTCTCTTATTAGCGCTTCAGAGCATAAATATAGACTTATATACTTGATATGATATAATTTCCAATTTGTTGTGTTGTTTTCGTTGTCGATTTACCACATTTCGCAACTAATTTTGCGCTTTCCATTTAAATTGAGCGCTGAAATTATTCAAAAGATTGAAAGCAAACAAACGGCTACTGCAATTTTGGCCAATTGTTTTGCAACAGCTCTTGACCAAATTCCGCAAAAGAGCAAAACAAAACGAAACGAAACGAAAAGAAATAAACGGCTGCTGGTCTGTCGCTTTGGCTGCCCACCGACCATTGCCACCATTGGCCACCATTGGCCACCAGCGCGTCTAAAATGTATTCAGCAGTCGGCGGCCAGCAACAGGGACAGCGAGAGCAGCAAACTGCAATAAATCTCATGTTTATATGCTGGGCTGTGCGGCGAGCGCAGGCAGCCAACCCTTTTATAGGTAACGCTAATGTGGCCCAAAATGAACTTGACATTTGAATGCCCAATTAACCGTGACGTGTGCGAGCATCGAGTGAGCCTCCTTGTTGTCCTCGTTTATTGCCAGCCTGCCAGCCTACCAGCCTACCAGCCTGGCTCTGACTGGCCGCTCGCAATTCAAATTTTTGAGGTCAACTTGTGCATAACTTTTATGCTTTTATGCTGATGTTTATTTTATTGGGCTAACAGTTAGCATTTTTAAAACAGGCAGGCAAGCGAGCAACATCCTGTTTGCTAATTAAGACACTTTCTAACGCTGCCCGCTCGACCTTTTATCGATGCCATTAAAATCACACTGGACCAGCCACCAGCGACCAGCAACCAGTGATGACCGCCGTTCGCTTTCATGATATGTGGAAAATTTGCCTGCCACTTGCCAGCCACATAAAAAATGGATAAGTTGTTGTTATCCGTGTGATTCTCACGCATGCCAAAACTTCATATCGGTCTTTGGCTCTGGCTTTGGCTTTGGCATGCAAGCCCATTTCCAAACTCCTTTAAGATGCACACAGTTGGTTCAATGGCTGGCTGGCTGGCTGGCTGGTTGGCTGACTTCGGCTGCCGTGATTATAAAACTGCGATAAATATTTATACCGCTCTTAGATTTATGGTGATTCATATCGCCAAGAGAAGTCATCAAAAGACACGGTGTCGGCTTTGCCACGACATCGTTGTCGTCCATAAACATTTTTATTACCAATAATTGCAAAATTTTTCATCTGTTCCATTTGCCTGCCAAAGCTGCCAGCCTTTGCGTGCCTACACACACACACATGATCATACTTGCATAAGTATGTATGTACTATATATATGTTTTGGGCAGCACTCAAAGCGCAATCAATGCATTTGTCAATTGGCTTAAACGTGTAAAATTTAGCAATTTACTGCATGCCATATTATGTGTTTCATTCGCCATTAATCACATGATTTTGTGAAATTTATGCGAGATTTAAAATTATCCAGACATTCGCTACTTTCCTGTCAGCAACACGAACATTGCATTACGGCCCAAATGTTAGACCAAATGTTACCAAGGCCATAACAATCGCAGCACCTTGACTTGAATTGGGCCTTAGGGCAGCGCAAAAGAATAATAATAACAATAATCGCAAGAGGCTGAAAATCTATTTCACGGCGCATAACATTTAAATAAATACTTAGAATTATGCGCAGCAATTTTATAAATAACTAAAACAAAGCTAAGCCATCAAATTATAGACAACCTGCGGCCCGCAATCAACGATTGAAGGAAATAAAGCAAAAGGCCAACACCTGAATGACAGCTTCGACCACAATTTGTCAGCATTGTTATTAAGTGTCGATTAAAGCACGAAATTGATTCTGAGACATTATTTCTTGCATAATCTATATACATACTATACAAGTATATAAACTGTTTTTCCCGGCTGACTTACTGATTGGCAATCAACGCACAGCCACAAACGGTAAGGGCAAGGAATCCGGAATTTGGACACCAGTTTCCTTTCACAGTAGAAATGAGCACTCAGAAGGTTTTGGAAAATTCGAACGCCAAAGGGGGAAAACGGGCGCCAACGTTTGTATAAAAACCCAACAATTTTCATCTGATTAACTTCAAACTTAGTTTCTGTATACTCTCAGAAAGAATAAAAAAAAAACTGTATGTATACAGTTTGCAGAAGTTCAACAAATAACCAAATTTTATACATACATACATATGATACATACATATGATACATACATATGATGATGTTTGATTTAATTTACCAGAAATTTCACAATTTAATTCCACAGTATTATTATTTAATTTATCAGAAATTTCACAATTTAATTCTCGATTTGCCAGCACTAAGGTACTTGGTATGAGAATCGCAGAGGAGGGCGCCCACAATATTTCGATTTAATTGATCAGGAATTTCACAATTTAGTTTCACAATATTATAATTTAATTTTTCAGAAATTTCAAAATTTAATTTCAAAATATTATAATTTAATTTATCAGAAATTTCACAATTTAATTTTCGATTTGCCAGCACTAAGGTACTTTGTATGAGAATCGCAGAGGAGGGCGCCCACAATATTTCGATTTAATTTATCAGGAATTTCACAATTTAGTTTCACAATATTATAATTTAATTTTTCAGAAATTTCAAAATTTAATTTCAAAATATTATAATTTAATTTATCAGAAATTTCACAATTTAATTCTCGATTTGCCAGCACTAAGGTACTTTGTATGAGAATCGCAGAGGAGGGCGCCCACAATATTTCGATTTAATTTATCAGGAATTTCACAATTTAATTACATAATATTTTTATTTAATTTTTCAGAAATTTCAGAATTTGTCAGTAAATAATTGATTTTATCATGAGGGGGCAATTATGAAATAAGTTATATCCGAAAATGTAATCTCTGCCCAAGCTCTGACGTTGTTGCTGCGTTGACTTATTTCTGTACTGCACACATATAGACACGAATCTGATGTAAATGTTTGCTATTGAAACTGTATATAAACATACATATGTATCCACTTATTTATTAATGTGTCCGTACGAATATTTCCTTTAAATTCAATTATTTTTGTTAAATAATTAAAATTTGCATTCCTTTCTTGTTTTAATTATAATAAGTTAATTGCAACAAAATAAAACATACTGCCACAATTTTCTGTTTTCCACTTCTATGGGTTTGACAGACCGCTTCCGGTTCGTTGCAAACGAGCTCAAGTATGACCGCTTTTTTCTTTATTATCGACATTTTAATATTTAGCTTGAACGCATTGAAAACGTGCAATTAACTTCAATAAAGTGCTCGGCATTTTAAACATTTAAAAAAGAAACTATTTAAAGCAACAGCAACAACAACAACAGAAACCACACTGAAGTTTACGAGCAAATGCCACAAATTTTGTGCATTAAATCATAAAATGTTTAGTGTTTTTTGCGCATAAATCAACGATAAATAAATTAAAAGCCATAAATTTGCCATTAGGCTGCTCTACGTGAAAATGTTGTGTGAATAAAATGTCAACAAAACTGTTGCACCATAACATATCAATTATATTAACGGACCTACAATTAATGATTTTTGTATAAATAACTATTTTTTTCGTGAAATTAATTGTCATTTTTTTAAGAGGAGAAGCCATATTTTCAATAAGTCCAAGCATATATCTGTGTGACCAGTACTTAACGACTTACAAATATTACTAAATAAAACGTGATGATTTCTTTATTCCCAGCTCAGTATTTAACCGAAAATGTAGGAATTAACAATTATTTAATCATGGTATGCTTTAAGCAAAAGAAGCCAAGAATTTAAATTTATTTAATTAATTTTTTTTTGGCAATTACTTTTTAAAATTTCACTTGAAAAATATATAACAACAATTCATCACCAAAGAAGTTTAAGATATATTAAAGCTAAAAGAGTTACTTTGTTGTTATGGGTGTGTTTCTGGGGGCAAGATTGTGACTAAGTCCAATACTCGTGTTACAGATGCCCTTAAAATTAATGTCAACAAATGTTGTTTCTCGACCAGTGTTGTGCGACAAAACAGAGAATCAAAGTCGGTAATAAAGAAAAACACATGTCCATTAGCTAAGAGGCCTAAAGTTGACTTCCAATAAATAGGGCGGTGTACGGTGAAATCGTTCAGTTACAGTTTAGTCTTTCTTAGAAAATATTAAAACACAATATCCAGTCAAAAATGAATAAACGCGTGCTGGCCATCATGGTTCTCATGACTATGACTATGGTAGTGGCTTTGGTGCGGGGATCAGGATCGCGAGTCGCCGAAATCAAGAGGCGTACGTATTATGCAGCTGTTCTTTTCTGAATCCTATTACATGTCGATAGGGGTTCCTTTTCAGGTATATGCCATTCTTTTCCGGAATACGGACACTGTGGAGGGCATTCACGCATGTGGCACTACGATTACCAAGCGCGGCGTTGCAATCAGTTCACGTATTCCAATTGCGGCGGCAATCGGAACCGCTTCTACTCGGAGGAGGACTGCATACAATATTGTAATAATCAATTTTTCTCCGATCTAGCGGATCGTGAACGTCAGCAAGACATCAAGAAATTGAACTGAATAAACTAACGTAGCTGCCAGTCCGAAAAAATATCAAACAAATCGCCAGTATTTTAGCGTGTTTTATTGCGCATTTCGGTACAATTTTCAGCAGGCGTCCAGCAAGAGCAGCACAGCTGGCCTACAAGTATTCGGGGCCAGTCTCAGACTCGGACTCGGATTCAGTCTCAGACCCAGACCCGAACCTTCTCGCCCGCAACCGAGATTTGTTCGCTGTGCCAGTCCGTCCGTCCGGTGTGTGTTCGGCGCACACACAACTCATGCAAAACATTTCGTCGCTGTTTGTCTGATTTCGAACAGGCGGGCAGCTCGCGCGATAGCTCGGCCGTCGCTGTGACGAAGTGCCGTCTCCACTATTGCCATTTCTCTGTTGTTGTTTTGTTCATTTTTATTTCTGTTTTTATTTTGGTTTAGTTTTTTTTAGTGCCGCCCCAGCCAACACCTAAAGAGTGCAAATACAGCGCGCAGAGAGGCTGGCGAAAGCTCGACGCGCTAAACTTTGCGCGCCGTTAGCGTTCATAAATCAGCTGCAAAGCTGCAAGTTTGTTTACGCACAAACACATGCATACATGCGACTATGCACACAGCCACACATGCATATGGATGAGTATGTATGCATGTACATATATACAGTGAGACTTCGCTTGGGCCGGACACTCATCGTCGACCAACTTTTGTGAGGTTAGAACAATACATTTTTTCATCTTTTGCCTTTTTTAACTGTTTTTCTATTTAGGCAATCAAAATAAATGTTCTTTATTCAATAAAATGAATCAGTTAGGTTTTATATACTTGCATATAACAATAATAATAAAATAAAAATGAAAAGTCGCAAGTTCATAAACATACATACATATGTATATGTTTATTTTGAGTATTGTTGTAAGTTTTTCCCTTAAAAGCTTATCAACCATTCCTAAGCTAAATAACTAACCATTTCATTTAATTTGCAATACTATGCCAAGCACTACTTTTGTTTTGATTAAAAACAAACCTAAGCATAATTGTGATATAATTTAATAACAACAAATAGGATATTCTATAAAAATCTATGGGTTATGGAAAGATATAATTAGAAATAAAAGGAATATAAACAAGAAAGGAATGCTAAAGTCGAGCAGGCTCAACTCTTAAATACCCTGTACCACCCCACAAAAAAGTAATTAAATTAATTAATTAAATTAATTAACTAAATTAATTTAATTAATTAACTAAATATTAACTAATTAAATATAAAATATTCCATGCATGCATACATACATTTACAATTACATCAGAATCGTGTCTATGCGTGTTTGTGTACTTGTACATATGTATGTATGTGTGCATTGAGCCTGGTTATATGGCTATAACTTTCTTTCCGATCATTCTATAATGTATTATATAATTACTAACCTAATGTGACTACCAAATTTTAGTTCAAAATTCCAAGAATTACGGGAGTTATAGAAAATCGTTAATAGGGGGGGAGTGGGGGGTGGATCAGAAAAAATGAACAAACTCGTCCTTTCTCGGTCTCAGGAGAATCTGTATACCAAGTTTGGTTATTCTAGCTCTTATACTTTCGGAGATCCTTGCGTTCATACAGACAGACAGACGGACAGACGGACAGACAGACGGACAGACGGACATGGCTATATCGACTCGGCTTGTCATGCTGATCAAGAATATATATACTTTGTGGGGTCTACCAAGCCTCCTTCTGTGTGTTCCATGTGCACTCGCACTAAACTAATATACCCTTGTACCCTTTGGGTACAGGGTATAAAAATACCGATGATTAAGCTTAATACAAATAGCATGCAAGAAGTCCTGCCATCAGAGGTTTTATCTCCAGGTTTCCGGATAAAAGTAGTGTCCACTACGGAAGTTTTCACTGTAGTAGTGGGTATATGTTGTTGTATCTGTTTTATGCGCACATTGATGCGATATGGCGAAATCAAAGAATAAAGTCACGCAATTTCAATTACACTGCGTCTACTATGTATATAGCGATTGCAATGGCAATCGTATAATGGTAATAATAATGAAATTGTGATAAACCGTGCGTTCTACAAATTGCACGCAAACGAGAGACAGAGAGACAATAACCTGAACCGTTAAGCGCAAGATTCAGACGCATCATCAAATGCAGCCAAAGCATTTGCCGACCGAACGCCGCACACTGCAACCGAACTATGCGAAAATTGTCCAATTTTCTCATTCACATTTCTAATTACAAAAAGTCGCCAAGTTAAAAAAAATCATAATTGGTTTTATAACAAATTTTTGAATAACAAATTCTTATTAAAACTGTGAAATGTAAATGTGAAAAAAGTTATGGATTGAAGCAAATGAAAGAAAGTGTTAACTCTTCTATGGATGTAAAATAAAAACTGATAGAAAAATTACTAATTCGATAGGAAACTGTTTAATTTTAAAAACAGCAGATGATTTTATAGTTTTCATTAAAATGATACTTCAATGTCCGATAAAACAGCAGCTTTATAGAAAGGTACTGGGTAATTAAGAAACTTATCTCTTCTATGGTGCTTTAGGTTTTTATAAGGCACTGAGACAAATATAAATCAATTTCTTTGTAAATTGTAAAAAAAATATTTAATTCTGTAAATATAATAGCTGCAATAAGGCATGGTGTTTATCTAAAATAAATATATGATTCATTTGGATTGAATTGATAATTGCATGTGGAGCTTAAATTGTTGGTTTAAACTTGGAGTGTAGTACTGGAGGACATACTAATGTAGATATGATTACAAAATATGCCCGTAGTTTTTATACCCTTTACCCAGAGGTTAAAAGGGTATATTAGTCAGACTTACGTGGCGAGGAATAACGGTCGATCAGTTTTTTCTTGCTCTCTTGAACTGTTAAAATATCGATGACACTATCCATTACCTTTACCGATGGATTTGTCTCTCTTTACAGCATAAGCCAGCAACAAAAGTGAATTTTAAGCTGAAATTTAAATCCAGCTTTTGTAATCTTCATGGGTGAAAACTAATAATCTCGTCTGGTTTAAGATTTGTTTATAAGACTGGGAAAACAATGCGCCTTAACTTTGATAAATAGTATCAATAATTGCGCATTAAGCTGTGACATCACCATCTATAGTTTGACGGTTCTAGCTTTCGTTTATCAGTCTTTTAAACGATGCTTTATCTTAGCGAAGAATTGAATTGAAGTGCAACCCAGTGTGCGATCGGAGAAACGTCCATGCGTTGTCGTCGTTCTGGCTAGCTGACTGCCTGTCTGTTTGCCTGCCTGCCTGCCAGTTTGTCTGTCTGTCTGTCCGCTTGTCTGTCTTTTTGGTCAACAGCCAGCCGGCTGGCTATCGTGTGCTCATAGTTTTATTAAGTATCTGTCCGCTTGCAACATTTGACGCACGCGCAACTGTGCTGTTGTTGTTGTTGTTGCTGTTGTACTCGTAAGTGTTGCAGCGACCCCGTTGCAGAGTCAGCTTGTTGCTCGCTGGTCGGCAACATTAGCGCGTGTGTGTGCCCGTGCGCTTTGGTGTTTGCCAATTAATATTCGCATGATCAAATGCTTAACGCATTTAGCCTTATAAAAAACCAACAAGACGTCACGGCTCATGGCTCATGCCTGTTGCCTCTTGCCTCTTGCCCGTTGCCCGTTGCCCGTTGGCTGTTGTTAGCTGATGGCGATGCGTTTGCCCCGTCCTGGCCTCCAGGCTGCTGCGTGGCCTCTGCCTGGCCAGGCTAAACCGGCTCAAATTAAAGTTGAATTTACGCATCGGCTTTGTGTAAATTATCTGCATTGCTTTGCAGTTGGGGCCTGGGAAAGTTTTGGTGCGCATTCGTTTTGCTTTTGCTTTAATTGCCACGAAATACAGAGAACGGGGGACAGATAGACAGCAGCACAATTAATGTTTGACTTCATTTAATTATATTTATTCATAATCTTTAGTTTGTTTCCTTGCGCACTCCTTATAGACTCGCCTGCCTGAACATTCAAAAATTTGTTCTCGAAAATGTTTTCTTTTCATATAAGGTATGTATGTATGTTATTTGTGTGTGTATATATGTATGTATGTATATCTATGTATGTATATATGCATTTATAGTATTAGTACAATATTTGTTTTATATGTTGTTTTGCTCCTTCTATAGACATCATTAGTTTAAACTATTTAATGCATTCCTATTTAATTAGTAGTTGTACGGTATAACAAACTGTTAAATTGCTTAGAGAAAACGCACAGTTTCAAGAGAAATGCAACTGTTTCTATATATGTGAGTGTGTGTGTCTGTATGTTATTTGTATACATAATGTATTTGCATAATGCATTTCATTTGACTTTTAGATAGGTACTCCTTATTAACTTGTACCATAAAGCAGGCTAACATTTAAAGCGTTGCACACAGAGAATCTCTTAAACTTGCCACTCAATTAAAAAAGAGTTGAATTAAAATCGCATTTAAAACTATTTTGGATAACAGCAATCAGGCTAACTGACTTAACCTAAATTATAAATTAAATAAAACAAAAGTCTTCACAAGTGAACTGGGCTCGTAGCACATTCGCAATAACGACTAAAAGACTAGTTAAAAAGTAGTTAAAACATTTTAAAATGACAGCAAAATTAAAATACATTCACATTTTTTCCTATTTTGTTTTTGTTTAAATTGAGCGTACATTTTAATACATTTTTGTTTGTTTGGCGCATTTTTCCAAAACATTTTAAACTGCTAGAGCTAATTAACTGGATGAATATATTACATTTCTGTTAAAATGAAAAAATATATATATCTTAAAGAGAAGAGCAGGAAGCTTAGATTTTGAGAGCTAGAGATGACGAACTCTCTATTTGCCTGTTCCCCATTATTCAGGCGAGACTTTAAGATCTTTGTTTTAAACTAAAAGTTCAGTTAATCTTAAGCTAAAGAGATTATACAGGCGAGAATTTAAAGCCTTTTTTATTGAACTTTTTTATACGCAACATTTGTGCTAGCACAAAGAAAATTAAAAGGTTTTTAAATTGTTCCACTGATGTGGCAACTAATTTCTTTCGAAACATTTTTTTAGACAGTTTTATTTTGGAGTACTACACTAATAGTCTATTACTGCTCTAAATAAAGTCAATGGAGCGGTTAATTGTGATTGTTTTTAAAGAAAAATAAGCTGACAAACTTTTTCCTCCTTCCCTCAACCCAATCAAGTATAGTTGACCTTTTGAAATGTAAATATTTTCACGAGATGTAATCAACATAAGCAGTTTAAAGGTTTTAGAGAATGCGCTCATTAAAATTTTGTTTATATATTAATCTTATGCCTCTGCAATTTGTTTTGGTTTTTTAAGCATCAATTGCTTATAACTTGTGCGTTTTAAATACACATTCTCGTAATTGTATTTAAATTGGGTTTTTGATTTGCATTTGGTTTATATATTTAATTAAAATTATATAACAACACGCGTAGGTATTTCTTATTATACTCATATAGTAGTTAGTTACAAGTGTAATTGTGTGTGTGTGTGTGTGTGTGTGTATATGTGTATGTATGTATGTACGAGTATGTACTTTAGCAGAATTTATAGCCAATTTCGAGTACATAAATGGGATATGATTTTTGCATTGCTATAAATTTTCAATGCATATGCATTTATTTACTTGTTAACATCGATAAAATTGTTAATATCCAATACGCTATAAATTTTTAAATACACTTGCCATTTCTGCATAATTGCTAAAAATTTGCTAAAACATTTCAATTAAATACCCATTAGACGACAACACACATTCCCATCTCATTTCGTATTTGTATAAATGCAATTGTCATATGTTTATAGTTAATATATATAAATATTTAAATTTATAGTTTAAATGCATAGTTTACCTTCAAATGAGAGATGATGGCCTGTGTGTGAGTTGCAAAAGCAAATGAAAATTGTGCTGCAGTTGAAATGTTTAACAAATTTGTGCGTTCGTTTTGATGATTGTTTGAAGCTCGAGTTAAAAAGATGTTGGTTTTGTGCATTATTTTAGAAATTTAATTTTCAAAAAAATTGTGCGTTTGTTTGTTTGTTTTTTTGTTGGTTGCTTGAGAGTCTTCTGGTTTTTTGTGCTATTTGTGGATTTGTCATTAAAAAAAGTTAGACTTTAAAAACAGTATATAAAAGTAAATTACGCGAAACGACTAGGTTTCGGGGACTGCAATAAACACAATGCCCCTAAAAAGTCTACCTACAACTTGATCAGCGCCCAATTGGCCAGGCAAAATAGTTTGGCGCATAAGCTACGATTTGGTCTCTTCGGAGTTCGTCCTGCCGCCTCAATGGGGGCCCTGCTCTATTTGCCCCCACAATACTCGCCCTGCAGCATGCCGTTGTCCAGCAGTGCTGGTGTATTGGCGATTCCATCCCTCAACGCCAGTTGATAGGCCACCTCGAAGGCCTGGCCCAGTGTCAAAATGATCTCGGTGGCCAGATCCTGTAAATAGCCGTATGTCAACAAAATCGCTTTGAAATTCCGAATCCTTCAACTCACCGTGCTCTGCACATTAAAGACGTGACAATAGTGCATGTCCTGCTCCTTGGTTATGTAGGCGAAATGTCGCAAATCCTCAGAGTCTTGGCAGGCGCAGTTAATATTCTGTATTTCGTGCTCACATATGCTGCGCTGTAATTAAAGAGAGAATTTAGTTGGCATAAATGAAAAAGGACGCACTGGTGCTTTGAAATGTTCAAAAAGGACTTCTTTTTATGAGCATTTTAAAATATGTGATCTCATTATGTAGAACAGAGTTTTTAAGAATTATATTGTTGTATTATATTTATTTCGAAAGAAGAAGCGCAAGGGATGGACATCTCCTTGATCCCATTATAAAAAACACCACTTGTAAGAATTATCCTGAATTTTTTTTTTTTTTTTGAAAACTGTGGCAAATTGAATGGGTTTTCCAGCAGGACTCCTTTTCGTAAGAGGCGCCAGCAGAGCCCATGAACGATCAGCGTGCTGGAATCGATATACATGTCCATCAGTATGTCCGTATAAACGCCGAGAACTAACTATTGATAATAGCTAGTGGCACAATATTTGGCCGTTAGAATTGCTTATCTATATGCAGATCAAGTATATGGGAAACCATAAACTATATACCCTCAATATTTTATATTTCATTTGAAAACTTTCATTTAAAAATAAAATATTTGTGCAGCATCTCCTGCTATTAAGCTTAATAGAAAGCGATGAACTATATCATAGGAATAATCGGTTTGCACTAAAAATATTTTTGTTTTTTTTAATCGTAACCAATTTTGATCAAACAATGGTTGATATACATAACTGTCGTTAGATTGATTTTTACTATAAAGATTATTTCAGTTGAGACTCTGCAGTGGGGGAAAGAGTATTTAAGGCTGGGACTGCCACGACTTTCAAATTCTATTCGTTACAAAAATATATTTGTATCATGTACAAGTACATAGTAGTACTTGTTCCTATACCCGTGCTGTTGCTCTACATATAGCTTTGTTCCTTTTTCTGATCAAAATCGGTCAATCAACATTATTTCATTTCTGCCAGTGTCATGGAAAGGTAACGGAACATATAATCTCTATCAAAACCCACCTTACTGGCCATATCGATAAATTCCACACCCCTGTGGCAAATGGCCAGAGAGAGGAGCGCACCCCGTCCACCCGGAGCGCTGGCCAATGGATGTTGTTGCTGCTCCTGGTCTTGTTCATCTGCAGGCAGCTCGCTTGCCTCAGCGGAAGACATTTTCAGCTTTTGTATAGATTTCTTAGTAGATTCAGTTCCACGTAGTTCTTTCACAACCGTTGAGCCGAGGTACTATTTAATAATAATAGAAACAAGGAATAGTTATATTCTGAACATACTTATATACTACAAGTAATACACTTGCAGATACAAAGACTTACATAGACCTCGTATTTAATTTGCTCGTTGAGGAGCGTATTAGCCGAGTGCCGCCATTTGGTGCGTAGATTTGCAGGAATGCCCAGGAGGAGTTCGGAGGGCGCTCGTATATGAAGTGGAGCCGTAGCCGTAGCCGTGGGATTGGCAGTTTTCGGGACAGTGGGCAAGACAGGTGGTTGTGGTGCAGGGCTGTAGAAGTAAAAAAAAGAGGGGAATCATTTGAATTCAATATGAATTGAGTGTACTAATAAACATCTTATTCAATTGTTTTTTTTTACTGTTAAGCCCTATTTGTATACAATTTTTATAAAATAAAGATACTCTCTACAATAACTCTTACCGATTCTTGCGGTAGCCCGTAATCGAATTGCGATGCTGCACCGTCGCCACAGGTTGTGTTGGCCCTCCCGTTGGCTTGTTGCCATTCGTTGCCATGCGATTTGTTTCGTTGTTCTCCCCCAGCGGAGTTTTTATGGACTTGGGCTCCCGCATTTGTCGTATGTAGGCCAAGGACTGCAGAATGCGCCGTCGATGACCCAACTTGTTTATTTCAAGAACCGTCTGCAGTTCCACATCCCAAACCCCACAGACACTCTCAATAGTGTTGTAGAGATGTTTGCTGCAAGCAAGGATGATGATGTTTATATGCTGTTGATATATTTTCTCATCTTTTATATTTACTTGAAGAACTCCAGATATTCCGGTAGAGCGATGCTTTGAAGCCATTGCTGAAGCGTCGCGACGCCTTGTTTGCACTCTCGTTGCTCCTTGTTCTCCTGTTGCGTCTTCAGCGGCACCTGTGGCTGGAACTCGGCTGGTGGCAGCGACTGAACAAAGTGAAGTAGTTTGGCTGCATCCTTTTCGGGTATGTGGAGCAGAGCCACATCCTCCTCCTCGAATACATTGCGCTGTGGACGGTTGATTAAAACATAATACAGAAATGCGGTAAAAGGAAGTGAAGTAATTTAAAATAGTAAGTGAGAGATAAAGTAATCCGAAGAGATAACCCGGAAATAGGGTACATTTTAAACGATGTAACGTCTTAGGACTTTGAGAGAGAGATGATAATTACCAAGCCCTTTCAAGGAGAGAAGGTGAAATAATCATTAAGTAGATTAGAAGATTGTGTAGATTTTCGGGTATGCGGAACCACATCCTCCTACCTTGCGTTGTAGACGGTTGATTAAAGCATTATACAGAAATGCGGTGAAAGAAAGAAAAGACTAAAAAAGACTAATCCGAAGAGATAACCCGAAAGTGGGGTAAATTTTTAACGATGTATCGTCTTAGGACGTTGAGAGAGAGAGAGAGAGAGAGAGATGATAATTACCAAGCCCTTTCAAGGAGAGAAGGTGAAATAATCATTTAATAGATTTGAAGATTGTGTAGATTTTCGGGTATGCGGAACCACATCCTCCTACCTTGAGTTGTAGACGGTTGATTAAAACATTATACAGAAATGCGGTAAAAGGAAAGAAAAGACTAAAAAAGACTAATCCGAAGAGATAACCCGAAAGTGGGGTAAATTTTTAACGAGAGAGAGAAAGAGATGATAATTACCAAGCCCTTTCAAGGAGAGAAGGTGAAATAATCATTAAGTAGATTAGAAGATTGTGTAGATTTCCTCCTCGCATATATTGCGCTGTAGACGGTTGATTACATAATACATAATACAGAAATGCGGTGAAAGGAAGTTAAGTGACTTAGAAGGAGTAAGCGTGAGATAATGTTTCGTTTTAACATTCGTGAAAAAGTAAACCGAAGAGTGTTTTTCTTAACCCCAAAATGGGGTAAATTTTATTTCGTCTTAGGATATGAGAGAGATGATAATTACCAAACCTTTTCAAGGAGAAACTTTGAAAAAATCGTTGAGAATACTTGAAGATTTGTATGTTCTTCAAAGACCAATGTTTTCTGAATTGCCTTTTTGTGCTGCGATCATAATACTTCAAATGAAACCAATATTCTATTTGTAATCATTTACATTACAGATTACTTGGATGACTTTATGTACAGATTTCCCCCTATAAATAAATAAATAAATCTCCTGACAATACAATGAACCGTCTGAGGTGGCGCAATTCCATTGTGACAGATGAACCAACTAACTAACTTATCAGTAACCTATTGTGAACTCCCAGACTTACCACGAATTTGTAATTGTCATAGCCATTCTCGAAGAGCATGCGCTCCAAGTGCAGCAGCCCGGCGTTCCTCAAACGCATCGCCAGCTCTCGGCGCTCCGGCCCCACCTCGAGGTCCTCAAAGTCCAGCTCAATGTCGTGGGTGGGCGTTATGTTGGTATTCAATATGCCACTGCCAAAATTCTCAATGATTTCGGAGATTTTCTTTCGCGCCTCTTCGGCATTGAAGGGACTGAGCAGGTTGCTAGCATTGTCCGATCTCCCATTGGCACTATTGTTATTACTGTTGTCATTCTGTTCGTTGCTGGATTCGTTGTTCTGTTGTGTGCCGGAGGTCGCTTCAGTGGCATTGCTGTGGAGGCTCCGCTGACTAAGTGCATCCTCAATGGCAGCGGGACTGGGCGTGATTTCATTGTGGGAGCCATTCGTTTCCAGTTTGACTTCAATTGTGGGCTGCTGCGGTTGTTGTTGGCTTGTCGTCGTTGGGGGCTTTACGAACTTGCGTTCGGGAAGTATGGGCTTTATGGGTATGGGTGGTCGAGCTCGTGGTGCTGTTGGCGGTGGCTGTGGCTGGGAGACTATCACCTCCTGATTCTGTTCCCACTTCTTGGCACCATTGGGCTGTTGAGTGGCACCTTTGAGTAGCCCGGCGAAGGGCACATCGCTGACAAATTCCTCCACATAATCGGTGGATAGGCTGTGATCTGAGCAAGATATGCTGGAGCTCAACGAGCCCGAGGAGCCCTGCATGCCACTGGCGGGATACAGCGCTACCACTGTGTTCGTGGGTGGTGAGTGCTCATAGGGATAGTCATAGCCTGGCGTGGTCAGCGTCGGTATGAGCTTGGAGGGCGACGAACCCGTCTCGATCATTAGCTGCTGAGCCGCCTGCAGCTGCAGCAGCGCCGAGCGACGTTTGTACTCCTGACTAAGCGGTCGAATGCGCTCGTGTATGGTTCGCTCCGCCTGACTGGAGGATGGCGGCGGATGATCCGGTGTCGGTGGCTGTTTGTAGTGTGTGGGACTACTGGGTATTTGCTGCTTGGGCTCGCTGTTGCTCTCCACAGCTGGCTTATCGCCCACATTGAGCGAGCTGGAAGGAAAAAAGAAATGAATACCCAATCTAGGAAGTCAAGTTAGATAAGATTATTCAAATGCTTACCAACTGTTGCGATTACGCTTCAGCTTGCGATTGGGATTGTAGGACTTGAGCGTGGGATTTTCGCAGTTGATAAGCTCCTTAGACAGCTTGCTAATGCCTCGTGGTGCGGGTATAGGCCGCTTCATTGAATTGGTGGCATGCGCTGCAGGCGACTCGCCACTGGAGTTTGCAACACTGCCTGTGGTCTCGCTGTTCAGCTCCGAGCTGCTGCACTGACGGTCTAGCATGTCATCTGGAACAGGGAATAATACGGAATTATAGAAATGTTTAGGAGCTACAGGTATAGTTTCAAAGAGTCCCAATCTGGGAAAATCGCATAGCTTTGTGAGTCGATTGTGAGTCAATTGCCAATCTAATCTGCAATGTACTTGTACATTTAATCTAAAGTAAGAAATAAGATTGAACGCTGGAATGGTGGTTGGAGATGGAGGAGGAAGAAGGCTGCTGTCATCAGAACAAGCTCCCTAAAAGGTCAGAGTGGGAACTAGCTTGCCTTCGCACATCGCATTCTCATTCGATGTGATCAGAATTTGTAATTCAAATCATTGTAAATCGGAAAATGCTGGGGCAAGCACAAAGGCATTTTTATGAATCATTGATACACCGAACTAGGTCTGACGTCCATATTCTACGAGTATATATATATAGATTGAACAGTGACTTACTGCTCGAGCTGAGGCACATGCCGGCGGCAGCGGATCGTGTACTTTCCCGTGCGCTGGCATAGAGACGATCGCCCCGTTGCCGTTCACGTAGTTGCGTCTCGTCGAAGCTCATGCCGCCCACGCTGCCGTGGCTCTGATGCGAATAGGGACTGTCATTGGAGGGGCTGCGCTGTTGTTGTTGTTGCTGTGGGGGTCTGCGCGAATTTTGTCCCGAATGCTGTCCCTGATGGTTTGGTGACGTATAGCTGAATTGCTGGCCCGTATGCGTGGGCGAGACTGATAGGTTGCGACGAGGCGGTTTCTTGGGCGGCCCACCAGACGCAAAGGTGCTCATGTGAAGCGGTGGCTGTGAGTTGCCACCAATAACGCCACCAGTGGAGGAGCGGGAACGTGGCGACACCGAGGCCGGCTCAAAGCTGCTCATCGAAGAGGACGGGCTGATGCCCATGTCACTAAATTGCGGAAAGGAGGAGAGATATATAGAAATCCATGTAATAAATTGTGACATTTGGACAGCTGCGTTGATGGCTTACTTGTGCGAGGCGTTTGAATGACTGTGCACTGGGGAGTTGATGTCGTGGTAGAACCTGTCGTCTGGCTGTAGTGCGCTGTCCAGCGACTTGCCGCCATTGAAGTTGCCGCCGCCGATGCCGCCACTGTAGCGCTGTTTACTGTAGGCGGACTGTTGCATGGAATGTGAGTGATTGAGCAAATGATTGTTGGAATTAAAGTGGTAATGGTTGTTGTGCTGCTGTTGCTGTTGCTGCTGTTGCTGCTGCTGATGTTGCTGATGTTGCTGATGTTGCTTAGAGTTGCGCGCTCCCGATGGCGGGAGCACATGGTGTCGATAGATAACCTCGTCGCCATCGTCAGTATCCATTTGATGGCGAAAATCTGCAAAGGAAACAGATGGTGTTAGGCTTTGTTGGTTGTGATAAGGAAAGGAATTTTATAGACTTCTGGTACTGATAAGGAAAGGAACTTCATAGTCTGTATGTACTTATAAAATGGACAGAGTAAGCTTATACGAATTTTAGAAATTGGGAAACATTTCAGATATTACTAAAGAAAAGTCCACAATGAAGCTCATGGAGTAGAGCCCCCGTATAGAACTGTTGCATTCATACTACCAATTTATATAGTATATATAGTTAGAACTGAATATTCTGGTAATTAATTCAGGGACTGTAATTATTATACGTATTAATATAAAAATTACAAAATAATTGTTTCTTTTTAATTTTATTTCTTGAGTTTTATTCTGTTGATCAAACATAAAACTGAAGTTGCCTTTTTCATAGGGTAGAAGCTCAAATTTTATATAAATCTTTAATCAATAAGCCAAGGCAAGCCCCTATAGTACAATTTTGGGCTAAAAAAATATCTGCAGGCAGAATTACAGCTTGAGTTTTATATTTGACCAAATTTTGTTGAGTTCAGGTTATTTTAAAACTTAAAGAATAATCATAATTTTTTCATGAGTATTATTTAATGATTATTAGTTGTTTTGTAAAGGAAAACTCAAAATTAATCAATAACTTTTGAGAGAATGCATAAAATAATCCTAAAAAAGAATATAGGTAAATACCTCGCGTTCTCAAATGTATTATAAGTGAATGGTTTTTCGTTTAAAAAAAAAAAACAAAAAAATAATCATTATTTGTGGTCCCTGATTAATTTCTTTTAATAGGCGTTGTTTAGGAACTATTTAATAAATTACGCATACGTACTGTTGATCACGGCAATAATGTGCTTGGTGACATGCGGTGGGAACTCCTTGAGTATGTCGAGCGCGGTGCGATTCTCACTGTCGGTGGCATTCAGATCGATCCCTGCCTTGAGCAGCGTGCGCACCACATTCTCCTTGCCACAGAGCGCTGCCTCGTGCAGGGCGGTCCCTGAGGGTGTAAGCAGATTCACGCTCACTCCAGCAGCGAGCAATACCTCAACCACACTTTTGTGGCCATTGCGACTAGCCAGATGCAGGCAAGTGTGCGGAAAGATGAGGCGTGTGGGTGTGGCTGGGGAGGAGCCCACTGAAGGGGATGATGGTGAGGGCGTTGAAACGGAACCTGAATGCGGCAGCGGCGACGAGTGGCGGGACTTGTGCGCCGAACCCACATTTCCCGCATTGCCTCTTCCGCTTTCCACCGCCGCTGTGCTCAGATGGGCAATAAGCTCCGGATGTGCGCGGATTAGCATTTGTACCGCTTGTAAGCGTCCGTACTGTGCCGCCAGATCCAAGGGGGTTTCGCCTCGGGAGTTCCTCATATTTGGATCTGCGTCGTGGGCCAGCAGCAGAGCCAGCGCTCCTGTGTGTCCGTGCTGGGCAGCGCAGTGCAACGGCGTCTCGTTCTCAATCGTCTGCAGATTTGCGTTGGCCGGCCTATAAGGATGGCACAAAAGCATTTTCACAATTTCCGTCTCACCCGCCCAGGCGGCCAGGTGCAGGGGCGACGAACCACGCGAGTCTGGCAAATTGGGCGAAGCCTCGTGGGCGAGCAGCAAACGCACAATATCCTGATGGCCATTTAGACAGGAATGATGCAGAGCCGAGTAACCGCCGTTGTCCTGCACATTGACGCCAGTGCCGCGACGTAAGCTAGCCAATGGACCGGCACGTTTCGCCTTCTGCGACAGGACTTTCTCAATATGGCTGATGTTGCCATTACGCGCCGCCTCCAAAAACTCCTGGTCCTTGCCCATGATGCAGCAGACGAAGTGACGGCTGGTGGGTGAGACTGCAACAAAACGAAAATGTTGCTGTTAATGGATTTATGTTGGCATAATCAAAGCGGCGACACTGCCTGAGGATCCGCTCTCCTCCCCTCCCCATCACTCAGCTCTGATTTGCTGCAAACGAATTATGACTGTGAAGAGGGCTTCATTAAAACGCCTAGAGCTTTGTGCGACTCGACTTCCACTGGGGTGGAGGTGGTATGCATTCGCCTTTTAGCTCTAATGACTTTCGCACCCTGCCTTGTCGTTGACAGCCATTAAAATTCTACAATAAGACGACTCTGTGGAGTGGGTCAGAAGGTTCGGTCTGAAGTTTGCCGTTCAAGTACTGGGCGTGAATTGAAATGTTTTAAGTGCGATATCTTTGATATGTACGTGACTTTTTTGCCCCACAAGATGGGTCGAAAGTGAGCTTTTCAATTACTTTGGAAGATATAAAAAAAAATTGCATATGCCATAATGGCACATAATGGTTTTATCATCGAAACGCCATGAATTTGTGAGGAATTAACTTTGAATCAGCTATCCCGTGACGAGAGTTTACAGCACTTCCATATACAAGTATTTGGGTGGATACCAAGGCAGCTATATTCATTTCAAGTATTCATCTCTCTAATATATGGTGCTATACAAATAATACAATTGGCCAATAATATGTTTTATTTGTTTTAATTCTCAAATTGTAGCTTATGACTTCCTAAACTAAGGGTGCCAATGGAAAAAATTACTAATTCATTAGCAAATGAGTTATTGATGTTAATTCGATGCGCAATAAGATTTTCCAGAACGGTAATGCGCGAGTATAAATATTTTCTAGAATTCATATTATTATTTGCTGGTTTGCTTATTTTAAAGCACAACTTATAAATACGTTTTTTTTCTTAGCTTCTGTGAAGAGTAAGTTTTTTATCACCCATTTGAGTAGCTCAATAAGGAAATTTTGTTCAAAAGTTGGGTAATATTCCTTCTACTTCGGCTAATATGTACAGTAATATCTTGTAATATCTACAAAAGTGATGATTAGTACAATCATTCTATTACGTTTTCCATATTAGACTACAACTAATAACAGCGCCTTTAGTTCAAAAAGAACAACGAACCCTAATCCTACATAAGTCGAAAGGTGAATTCGTATTATAAATTTAAAAAATTAGCGGCTTAATATTGGAAACTTTTGTTTTTTTTTAAAGTCATACCACGGTAAATAATTTATATTCCTCATAGAATTATATCCTCTATATTATAGCAGTATGTAACCAATTTTTAGCACCCAAAAACGTGCCCAAAAATGTATTAAGAATGCGATTTATTTTAAATACAATAATGAAGACTATGAAAAAGTAATACTAAAAAGTTTTTCATTTTATTTTTAAAATAAAGAGAAAATAACAGATTCTTTCAAAGCGGTTATAGGTTTTGACTCTCGACAGAAGTATAGTATGTACTTGTATATCTATATTTTCTTTTTAAGAGATAAACATAACTGAACAAAAGCGTATTGATTGGTTCTAATCGTTGGTGTAATCACACCTCGTTAATATCTGAAATGTCTCAAATAAAAAAATTGTTAGAAAAGTCCCAGAGCCAACATGATATCGTCACAATTTAAAAAATTTTAGGCTTAGAGATGACAAAGTAAATATTCAATATTTAGATTCTTTAAAAATATAGTACAAATGATACTAAATCTGATTGTTCGTTCATGAATCGCAAAAAATATGGTGGAAAAAAAGGGTAGTACTTGAAGTATTTAAGTAGTACCGAAATCGTATTGCAAACCAAAACAAAATTGAAATGTTTTAAGGATTTGCACCTTTGAGGCTTTGAGGCCAATAGAATAAATGCTATGATATGGGTTTTTAAACCTAAAATCTTAATTTCTATATTGAACTTGAAATGTTTAAATCTGACCAATAGATATAGTAATGGTTCCTGTCTATAAGTTAGTGTTTGATTCTTCCTTAAATATTTATGTTCTATTTTAAAATGGATGAAACCATAATCGCCATTCGTCCCAGAATAATTTGTGTAACATGCGAGCAATTGGAAGGACGCTCATGGTGCTGTCGCCTCCTTGTCTGCGTTTGCCTGCTGTGCGATGTTGTGGCGAGCCTAAAAGCATGCTGCCACTTTTGCCTCAATGAGATAAATACGACACTGCAACAGATAATCACCTGCTTAAACACACGCGTGCCCTCACACACACACACACATATCCTGGCACATACGTATTTATCATACTACTATAAAATTCAACAAAAGGTAGGTTAGGCACATGTCCTGTCCATGTCTAAGCAGCAGAGAGCGAGGGAGAGCGAATGGAAGTGCGCTTGCTCCGGCGCAAGCTTTGGCCGAGGCTTCGAAATGCCGCGCCTGCACGTACACACACACACACATATATATATATATATATGTGTATGTATGTGCTTATTTGCACTACAGCCACACCCCGCCCTCCCCCAGCAATGTGACAAATGCGTCTTGTATGGCATGCAAACGCTGAGGCGTGTCGTTTGTAACGTCCGGCTGTTGAGGCGAGCGGGGTGTGTTGGGGGCAGGGGGAGGTAGCTTTGTTGGCAGAGTCTAGCATACAATTTAATAATGTGAGCGCATGAAAAAAGCGGAAATTAAAGCATAAAAAGAGTGGACGACAGCAAAAGCAACAACAACAACACAAATTGGCTGCCTGCCTGCCCGCCTGCCAGCTTGCTATAATTTCATGCACCATAATTGGGTCAAAGGATATTGACCCGAGGGAAACGCAGTTGGCTGCTATAGATGCTGACGAAGCTGTGCCAGATAGCCAGACTGTCAGCCCGCCAGCCAGCCAATCCATCCATCCAGCTAACTACAAATATCTGAGAAATTGTCCATTTGGCCAAGCGACGTCATTCTGTCTGGCATTCTGTTTTCCTCTGCTCTGCAATTTCCGGCTAACTTCCGCTGCGTCCATGTTGGTCATTGGCGAATTTCGCAAATCTCGATTACGCTTGTGACACTTAACACCTTTCAGCTAATACTCGTACGTACGATAAGTATCTGTGTATATTGGTATATACACATATATATATATGTATGTAAGTATGTACGAGTATGTGTTCACAAATTCGTTTAGTGCTTTGATAAATTTCTATCAAGAAATTTAATTGTTTGGCACGTTCTGCAAAATAGGCTTCACATAAAAGGCGTGTACCCGTTACACACACACACACAGACACATATATACGCATTGGTGTGTATGCGCAGCTACACTTGACTTCTTTCCGCACACACAAACACATACACAGACACAGACACACTTATATACACACTTCGCAGATACATTTTCAAGCCAAATACCTTTTTTCCTCGTAGTAGTTGTCGGAGTAGTAGTTTTGGCTTCTGCTCGAAATTTTTCACTTCCGTTCGCTGGCTGGCGGCTGGCTGCTCAATTTTCACGTCTTATTTAATTTAATAAATTTCATTTCATTTGCGTGCCACCGCGCCACCGTTCAACGTTGTCGTTGTCGTCGTCGTCGTCTCATGCACAACACATTTCCATTTACGAAATTAATTTGCTGCGCCCGCGTTTGGCTGCGACTTCGACTGCGAACTGAACGGACTGTCTGACTGACTGACTGGCAACTGGCGACTGGCGACTGCTTGCTCCGCTCCGCTCCGGTACGGTCCGACTGGGGCGCTGCTGCTGCGGCTGTGTGCGTAAGTTCCGTAAGAATTTTAGTTCGTTACACGTACGTTTGACGCAGCGCTCTCTCTCCGTGCTTTGAGTACGCCGTGCACTTTTCCTCTTGTGCAATGCTGCGTCGGCCACTTTTGTGTTTTTGGTGAGATTTGGAGACCCAAAGAAAGTTGTAGATACTACAACAATGCTTCGGTTTGCTTCGGTTTGCTTTGCTTGGCGCTTTCACTCAATTGTTTCCCACTGCTTCGGACTGTTTTGGGACCGCTTTGTGGTGCGGGCGAATGAGCGAGCGCAGTGCGGAGAGCGCTGAGAATTCTATTTTGTTGTGTTTATGTATTAAAACGAAAATACTAACTATCAATTTATTGATATCCAATAATATTAATATTTTAATTGTTGGTTCATTTGTTGACTCTACGAATAAGAGAAGAGTTTTTCGTGTGAGCCTTAAGAAACCCATTTGTTGTATTTTAATTCTTCACTAAAGATTCTTTTAAAATATTTTTGAATTCGATGGCTCTTTAGAAGTGTGTTGTAAGTCGAATAAAAACCTCATTCGCACCTTGCGAACTGTAGTAAAACGGTATACATTTTATATATGTCGATTTTACTTAGAGAAATCAAAAAGGGTAAAAATTTGTAAAAAAAAGATGCCAACCTAAATGGCAATCAGGAATTAATTTCAACATTCCGATAATCATATCATTTTAATTTAAATTAGTCTCTACGGGGAAACTTTTGAAATATAACTGCAAAGGTACTGAAAACTCATATCTATGGTACTAACACAGGGTTTTTAATCTGGGGTTATTGCATTCAGCTTGTTCAGGACTGACCTGATATATGGCTGTATTTATTGCTTTGGGCCACAAAGTCTGGCCTAGGCCCGACTACACCCACAATTATCTAGACATATCCGGCATGAAATTGGTCAAAAATTTGTAAAGTATGAAGTAAAGATATTCCTTTTTCTGCATCAGTCATAAAGTCAAGGCAAAAGAAATAGCTGAGAAAGTGAAATAATGTAATTCATCGACATCTCTCCCAGCAGAACATCTTCCGAAGCACGAATTTTTGGTTTAAGTCCACGGATGATTTCACTGAATTTCAGAATATCTTTTTTGTGTTTTCCATTTTCAATTACATATACTAAATAAAATCGTAATATACATATATCTTATTAAGAAATCATTTTGTTAAACAATTTAAACAAATTTTTGAATTGAGATTGACTTGGATTATGATCTAACAGTATGCAAACGTAAGATTAAAAAGATTCAAGAGC